TTTATTTTCTAGAATTACAGTCATTATTTTGTAGTTGCAGACTCAAATGGTAAAGTAATTTTTCCTGTTCTTGTAAATCCCAGAAGTTATTAGGAGTAGAAGCTTACTACAAAAAATAAAAGATGGGAATACTATGTTAAAAAAATATGAATAAATAAATTGAAATGAAGCTAGCATTAGAGATGCCTGTTGTCTTTCGTATAAATCATTAAATGTTCTAGAACACAAGTGTAGCCTCAGTAATGTGTGAACTGAAACAAGAAAAGAAATGAAATGATGGAGGATTTGATAGGAAAGAAAGCCACCCAGACTAAACATTACTCGTGTACCCTTACAGCATTCCATTTACATAGAGATAGGGTTGATGTTCTGTCAAGAAAAGGGAAAGGAAAGCACATAGACTTTTCAGTACTTCTGTAATACCTGGTGCTATATACATGGCAATACTCAAATTTAGAAATAGCTTTTATAATTAGGGAATAATTGAAAAAATCATCATTGCTGCAGAGATAGCAAACCTCTGAATAAAAATTATTTATATTGAAGTAATTAAATTTTTTCATCCTCCTTTTATTGTTTGTTTTCTTGTTTTTTTTCTTGTTTTAAAAACATCTCTAGAAACTAAATAAGACGTCTATTGGAAATTTTAGTATCACTCTTCTTTAACATTTTGTCACTATTTTATGTTGTAACAGGTGGTGAAATGGGCAGTCCCATGAACCAGCAGATGATGTCAGCTCTGCAGCAGTGCTTCTCTCAGCTCCATCTGCACTCCCTGGAGATCCAGGCCCTGAGCAAGCATCTGCAGGTGAGGCGACCAATGTTCTTCCCTCCATACTACCCACCTTACCAGTGAAGGCTGGGCAGGGGCATGAGACTCTAGTCAAGCTGCCATAGACAGGGTTACAAATGTATGTAGGTAGCGATATGAAACTTTGGCATCGCATCAGCTCAGTGACAAGTGGGGAGCTGTTAGTGTAAACATGATTTTAATTTTTTTGAAGTATTGTTATGTTTACTTATTTATTCAAGTATGTGAATGGTATTTTGTTTATTTGAGTTTTATGAATGCTGTACTGGGAAATGGAGGATTATAAAAGCCAGGCAATGTGCAGTTCACAGAACTCAAGATGTCATTGCAGATTTTTCATAGCTGAGCTTTTCAAAAGAGTACTGTGAGGTAGCTGAAATTAAAAAAAAAAATGTTCTTGTATATGTAGTTCTGTTTTTATGGTTTTAAAGTAGCATACATGAAAAACATCAGTCCAAAGAATGAGACTTCCCCATCTTTACCTTCCACTGAATATTGCAACTCCGTCCAGCTGACTGCCATCTATTATCACTGGGGATGTGTAGCACTTAGAATTAAGGTTCTAGCACATGCTCTGAGGTGTGCACCAAGATCTGAAACTGAAAGAGATATGACTCTTTGTAAAGGATATGTCCGTTTTTACATAAGAAATTGCTCTTGCTTCTGTTTGTTAGTGTTTTAGATCTGATTTTCAAAGAGAGCCATCAATGTTATCAGACAAACTCTGTGTCATATTGATTAGAAAGAAACAGATTAAGGTGATGGCTTCTAGGAAATAGGAGTTTAAAATGGTATTAAAGTATTACTGGCTAGTTTCATTTTTTCTTTCTTTTCTTTTCTTTTCTTTTCTTTTCTTTCCCTTTTCTCTCTTACTTTAGTGTCTGTATTGGAATTCCTTGTGTTCATTGTTCTCTGGTTTGTCCACAAGAAAGTCAGCTTAGTAATTGACAAGCATTTTGAGTATTGTATTATTATTTCTATTTTTAGAGGTAATAGCAATTCATTATGTGGCATTTGTTGCTATCCCTAGTTATTTTTTAGTATTGTTAGGGGAATGCACAGTATTAGCATTGTCTTCACATGATGAGTACCTTTTTCATGATTTCTATTTTAAGCACTTTCTGTATATAGTTTTTGTCCCTTTCGTTACCAATATTGCTGTTGTTATTTTTATTACAATTATTATTACTATTGTTATTATTTATTTATTCACTTTTACCAGTTTCTTTGTTATTGTTGTCATTAGCATAACTGTTCTTACTCTGATAATTGTTAGAACTATTGTTATTATTATTATTATTTTTTTTATCATCCTTATTATTATGGTTATTATTATTGTTAATATGGTTATTATTATTATTATTATTATTATTATTATTATTATTATTATTGTTGTTATTATTATTATAGTAGCTTTTGATGCACTGGTTCCAAAAGAATATGTTGGGTTGACTAAAGTGAAGGTACAGATAATGTCACAGTGAATAGCAAAATGCATGTATTAAGGCAGCTATATAAGAAGACCATGTTATCCTCCCCTGTAATCGCACCAGTATGTTTTAGCAGTGCACTTCACCTCAATGTGGGTACTTGCATGATCATCAGAGCTTCACACTACAGGAATGTGGAATGTAGAATGGGCTAGTCTATTGCCTGTAAGTTCTTCTGTTCTCAAATGAGCTGTATTTTGGTTGGCAGTGAATAAATTCTTTTTTTTTCCCAGTTTTATTTCTCTCGACTTCCTTTTTTTGATTCGGTGGTTGGTATCTGCTTTGGAGACACTTTGGTGGAGGGGAAAGTGTGCGTGAATGTGTTAATAGGTGAGGACAGACGATGATTTCCTCTCCTCCTTTCTTCTCAGGGGTGTCTCTTATACAACCCCTCTCTTTCTTATTCTCTCTCTTTCTCTCTCTCTTTCCCTCTTTCTCTTTCTCTCTCCCTCTCCCTCTCCCTCTCCCTCTTCCTCCCCCTCTTCCTCCCTCTACCCTTCTCTCCCTCCCTCCCTCCCTCCCTCTACCCTTCTCTCCCTCTTTCCCTTCTCTTCCCTCTCTCTCTCTCCCTCTCTCTCCCTCCCTCTCTCTCCCTCCCTCTCTCTCCCTCCCTCTCTCTCCCTCCCTCTCTCTCTCTCTCTCTGTCTCTCTCTCTCTCTCTCTCTCTCTCTCTCTCTCTCTCTCTCTCTCTCTCTCTCATTCCCTCTCCCTCTTTCCCTCTCTCCCTCTCCTTCTCCCTCTCTAACAATTGAATAACCCAAAAGGCAAGGATAATCACTAATACGCTTGTTACAAATACCATTCATATATCCATAAGGTTCATACCCACGGTCTCGTTTTGTCTCTCTCTGTCTTTCTTTCTCTCTCTCTGTGTCTTTCTCTTTCTCTCTCTCTCTCTCTCTCTCTTCTCTCTTCTCTCTCTCTCTCTCTCTCTCTCTCTCTCTCTCTCTCTCATTCCCTCTCCATCTTTCCCTCTCTCCCTCTCCTTCTCCCTCTCTAACAATTGAATAACCCAAAAGGCAAGGATTTCTTTCTCTCTCTCTGTGTCTCTCTCTCTCTCTCTCTCTCTCTCTCTCTCTCTCTCTCTCTCTCTCTCTCTCTCTCTCTCTCCTCTCTCTCTCCTCTCCTCTCATTCCCTCTCCATCTTTCCCTCTCTCCTCTCCTTCTCCCTCTCTAAACAATTGAATAACCCAAAAGGCAAGGTTTTTCTTTCTCTCTCTCTGTGTCTCTCTCTCTCTCTCTCTCTCTCTCTCTCTCTCTCTCTCTCTCTCTCTCTCTCTCTCTCTCTCTCTCTCTCTCTCTCTCTCTCATTCCCTCTCCTCTTTCCCTCTCCCTCTTTCCCTCTCTCCCTCTCCCTTTCCCTCTCCCTTTCCCTCCTCTCCCTCTCCCTTTCCCTCTCTCCCTCTCTCCCTCTCCCCTCTCTCCCTCTCTCTCTCTCTCTCTCTCTCTCTCTCTCTCTCTCTCTCTCTCTCTCTCTCTCTCTCTCTCTCTCTCTCTCCCTCCCTCTCTCTCTCATTCTCTCTCCCTCTCCCTCCCTCTACCCTTCTCTCCGTTTACCCTTCTCTCCCTCTTTCCCTCTCCCTCTTTCCCTCTCCCTCTCTCTCTCTCTCTCTCTCTCTCTCTCTCTCTCTCTCTCTCTCTCTCTCTCTCTCTCTCTCTCTCTCTCTCTCTCTCTCTCTCTCTCTCTCTCTCTCTCTCTCTCTCTCTCTCCTCTCTCTCTCTCTCTCTCTCTCTCTCTCTCTCTCTCTCTCTCTCTCTCTCTCTCCCTCTCTCTCTCTCTCTCTCTCTCTCTCTCTCTCTCTCTCTCTCTCTCTCTCTCTCTCTCTCTCTCTCTCTCTCTCTCTCTCTCTCCCCTCTCCTCTCTCTCTCTCTCTCTCTCTCTCTCTCTCTCTCTCTCTCTCTCTCTCTCTCTCTCTCTCTCTCTCTCTCTCTCTCTCCCTCTCCCTCCCTCCCTCCCTCTCCCTTTCTCTCTCTCTCTCTCTCTCCCTCCCTCCCTCCCTCCCTCTCCCTTCTCTCTCTCTCTCTCTCTCCCTCCCTCCCTTTACCCTTCTCTCCCTCCCTCCCTCCCTCTACCCTTCTCTCCCTCCCTCCCTGCCTCTACCCTTCTCTCTCTCTCTCTCCCTCACCCTCTCCCTCTTCCTCTTCTTCTTCATCTCCCTCTCCATCCCTCTCTCTCTCTCTCTCTCTCTCTCTCTCTCTCTCTCTCTCTCTCTCTCTCTCTCTCTCTCTCTCTCTCTCTCTCATCCACACCAAATTACTGATTCTTACAAGAAATTATCAACTTTTGTGTGCTTTCACAGCCATAACATAGGATGTATTGCACAAAACAACTTCCCATCATGATTCTCTGTTTCAAATTTTTTTTGAAGTACTTGTATTGTCTGTCTCTCTGTTGTCTTTTCTCTCTTCAAAGTTTTAAACAAGGAATGATAGTTCCAACAGGTTGTTAATTTTAGATACATATGTAAAAAGGCAACAAGTGCAGCACCTGCTAATGTGAAGGAAATGTTGTGTCAGAAGGTCAAGATAAACAGAAAAATTGCATGAGCTTTTTGTCAGACTATATTAACTACATACAGTTGATATTTGTAAACTGTCCATGACTTGATTGATTCTAAGTCTTGGTATTGTAATTTTATAGTATCATTATGGTTGATTGTGTGAAAGAATTATCATGAACCATTAGATAATAAAACATAATGAATGCTCAGTTCATTGAAACAGTTCTCTTGGATTTGTGTGTGTGTATGTGTGTGTGTGTGTGTGTGTGATTGTTTTGATTTCATCATGTAAAGATTGCTTTTGCATGTCATTTAATCAAACCAATGGAGTATTTACTTTCATACTTTATTATGAGGAAAGCATGAATTTTCAACTTTTGGGGGACATAACTATTAATGAAAAGAAAAAATATTTGATATTTCTGCTGTTCACAGAAGATGAGGATGCTGGGAAGTTCTTGGCATTTAGATACAATGGCCAGATTTTACTTTTGTTAGAATTTATTCTTTGGTTTTCTTCACCAGTGAAGTTTACCCAGCCACAGAAACAAATTTAAATCCTAGAAAAATGCAGGAAGCCTTTATGATGTCAGTAGCTGAAGATGTCAGTAACTATCTGATTTATGTCAGCCCTTTTACAGATGACAGCAAATCAGTAGTAAAAGGCGCAGAGGTACAGCAGAATAGGTTCAGAGTTGAATCTTATCAGTTTGAATCAGGAATTTCAGATGATCCAGAAAACAATAATACCTGTAGTTGCTCCAGAAAGGAGGGTAGAGAGAGAATTAATAAATGATTAGATATGAAATTGAAACCAAGAAAAGGAAAAGGATAATGAATAATGAATAAACGAGAGCAGAAGAAAGACAGACAGAGACAAAGAAAGATAGGAAGGGTGGAACTGAATGAATGCATGACAAAGATAGAATTGATGATTTGTGGTGACAAAAGACAGGAAGGAGCAAGAAAAAAGAGCGAATGGATTCAAGAAATCTGAGAGGTAGTGAATGAATGAGTAAATAAGAAAATGAGAAGCAAGGGACAGATATATGGAGATTGAATCTCAGTGCTGACTTCATGAAGGCTTCCCACACTTCTTTGAAATTCAAATGTTACATAGCAGCTATTCAGCTATTCATGTGGATCAAATTGCTAGTAGAACAACAAAGGGAAGTACAGGAAAACACATAGATGTGCCTAAGGCCTTTTCGCATTTATTGCTTCATCAGGGCATATGAGACAAGAGATACATAGAGGTGTGTATATATATATATGTACTGAGCAGTCAGATCACATCAGTAAAGGTTGTCATACACCTAAGTATTGACGTGACCTGACCGCTCAGTACATATATATATATATACGCCTTTATGTATCCCCTGTCCCTGATGAAGCAATAAATGCGAAAAGCCCTTTGGCATATTCACATGTTTTCCTTCATTGTTCTACTTACATAACAGCTGCACATTAGGGGCCAATATCACTGGCCCTTAATTTGTGATACTCAAGATTAAATTTTGGCAAAATACTTCAAAATTTATTTTCACTGTGGCCATTCTCTCTAATACACACACACATATGCATACATACATACATACATATATACATACATGTATGTATGTATATATGATAGATAGATAGATAGATATACACACACATACATACATATGTATACCCATATATGTGTACATGGGTGTGTGTGTGTGTGTGCGTGTGTGTATGTATGTATGTATGTATGTATGTATTATATAGTTTAGTTTAGTTAAGGGCATTGCTTTCTGTGAAATGAAAATCATAATAAGGAAGTAAAGTGATAACAGGAGCATGTAAGAGGGAAGGAAAGTATTGTGAAGCTTCACATCTTAAAGAAATATTCTTGGTTACACTGAGTCATAAGTTCTAAATGCAGTTAGCTTCTCAGTCAGTGTATACACCTAATACCACTGGAGACTTGTAGCAACCAAGGAGTCAATTATTAGTCCCTATTTGCCCTTTCCTTGAGGTTTTTTTTTTTTTTTTTTTTTTTTTTTTTTTTTTTTTTTTCATGTTATTAACCCATTGCCGCCGGGGAAAATGAACAAAAAATGGGGGAAATGCAATACTCATTTTTTATATTTTTGTGAAATATCTCTGTCCATAGATGGCTCTGCTAGTCCTGATTTCACCTTTCCTTGAATTAGCGGGAAAAAACGTATTTTTACTAGTGCTATAAATATAGATGGTGTTATTTTTAACAGCAAATTAGGATAGCGTTAAATATTTTCGTAAATTGATGAAAAGGGTGAACGGGCGAGACAGGCAGTACTGTAATTGGCTCATTGGATACTTAGTACAAGTGTAGCCATCTATGTAAAAAACAATTGAACAAGTCGATTCACAATGGGCATGGCATGTACGTAGATGCCATCCCCGGCAGCAATGGGTTAATGTTGGTGCTGTTATTCTTGTTATCTAATATAGCATCATTATGATGCTATGAATAATACTAATGGTAACACAAAATAAAATTAAACATTTGCCAAAATCAATAAGAATAATAAACAGGTTAGATAGGTAGGACTAGTGATTGCCTCCTTGGTGAATAAACACTTGTGGTGCCATCTATGTGTATATTCAATTACTAAACTAAACTCACAGTGGGCATGACATGTAAATACGCACCATCCATAGTAGCAGTGGGTTAACATATTCTGAAATGTAGAAGTTTACAGGTAGTTTGTATGTATGTAATGTTTCAGAGAGTGCTTCAGATCTGCGTAACTAAAAATCAGAATTCAGGATTATATTTATAGGATAAGGACTATAAGGACATTTGAAAAATAATGTGTTCCTGTGGAAAGAAGTTTGCATTCAGTGTTACTCTGATCATAGGAAATAAATTTTACTTGAATATGTTTGCTGAAAAATGTATACTTTTGCTTACAAATATGAGAATGGTCAACTGAAAGACATTTTCTTTTTAGCATACATATGGTCAGTTTAAAATTTTGAGATTAACTGAGAAGTATTTTTCCTCGGTATTTATCTTCTGTGCTTGTTGCAAGTAAATCAATGCGGAAAGAATGTAATACACTTTAACCCCCAAAGACTGCAAAAACTTTGGGCTTCAGTCAGGTACAGTTGTTCAAGTTTCACTAAGGCTAATTTTGGCCTTGCAGTGGCCAGTTACCTTCACCACAAAATATGTCTCATTGCTATGTCTCAAATAGGAAGAATGTCAGCAGAGTGCAAATTTGAAAAAGTTATCACGAAGGCTTATAAGGGGAGTGAAAATATGGAGGCTGACATCATAGGTGTGGCTGATAAACAGTACGAGACATAGTAGATGAGAGTACATACATGTCATTCATAAAAGAAGAGTCCTGAGAAAAATTCTTTTAGTTTTCAACAGTTCTCCCATGATTGTGGTGGAGAGGATTTTGGGTGCATTTTGGATTTTGCCATATTCATGGTGGATAGTTTGACCAAGGTTAACAAGTTATCATCCTTGTATTAATGGTGTACCTAGTCTAGTTCATGCATATTATATGAAATAAAACTCTTCTCTTGAAACTCAAGGAACTGGGTAACTAAGCGTTTGCAGTTCCAAATGCTTAGAATAGAATATAGATAAATAGATAAATAAAACTCTATTCAACAGTGCATATTCCCAGCATCAACAGCTTAAGTAACAAAATCCATGCTCCATAAACACCTGGTAGTAAGATATTTATTATGCACAAATAAGTCAGTTTATAGAGCCAACGGTATTGCAGACTTTTCTGTATTGGAAATATTGAAATGGGATGCTTCTTGTAGTTATTTTATTGATCCTCTTGATTTTAGGAACTTTCCATGGTTAAATTGGTAGAGGAATATGCAAAGGAAGATATTGTTTTTATTGAAATTGCAATTTCTTAAATATGTAAAACTTGAGAGTATTTATCTTGCCCTATGTTATCATTTTACATGTTTATTAGAATGAATTACCTATACATTCACCAAAATTGAATTCAGTATTTTTCATGTAGATTGGATAAAAAAGATAAATTAAATTTCACTCAATATAGTCTTTTGCTTGTTTTGTTTTTCGATGTGCAGATTTTAGACAGGCGTGAGCAGGGAGGCTCTGTCCCTATTGCTGACGCTGGAGGTGGACATGGGAACGCAAGGGGAAGGTTAGGGGCAAGGAGGAGTGAAGAGGAGGAGGAGGAGGAAGAAGAGGAAGAGGAGGAGGAGGAAGAGGATGTCACCAATGGAACTCATGCCCCTTATGCTCTCCACCATAACCTGCTGGCATCCACTCGTGCCCAGGAGGCCAGGGAGGGCGTCTCAGGTGTCCCACAAAGCCTCTCCTTCCCACAGTACCTTGGTCAGCCAGGTGACAGGGAGGCACACTCCAATGGTGTCACAAACCCCATTTATGGGCGTATTGGTGACCTACGGTTCCAGACAGGGTCGTGGGGGTCTCATGAGCCCACACCTGGCATAGAACAGCCACCAGATCAGATTGGCTCCCTCTTGGGTGTGACGGGGCTCCTTGACAACAGTCCTACCATTCCTCTCATGCACTTGGACCCCATGAATGAAGAGCGGCCACAGTCTCAGCCCCCAGAGGAGCACCACTGGGCTTCCCTTGCCTCTAACCATCCATTGCATCAGCAGACTACTGATCTCCTGAACAACCAGGTTTGTGCAGCAATAGTTTGTTTACAACCACTTGCTCTCTCTCTCTCTCTCTCTCTCTCTCTCTCTCTCTCTCTCTCTCTCTCTCTCTCTCTCTCTCTCTCTCTTTCTTTATCTCTCTCTCCTCTTTCCTGTCTCCTCTCCCCTCTTTGCTCTTTCCTCTCTCACCCCCATCCCTCCCCTGTTTGCTTTCTCCTTCCTGACTTTTGTGTCATTTTCTTCATTCTCTCAATCTTATATTTTGTCAAGTTTTGAATTTACATAATTGATATTTTCTTGGAAGTAGATATTCAAAATTTGACCCCATATCTTACAGGTCCCCCCAGGAACACGTGCCAATAATTATTGGGACAATTTCCGAAGCTATTCTCGCCAGAATCTCCTCTCTACAGCCACCAAAAGCAACACTAGTGAACATCCTGTATCTACTGCTTGTGTTGCTGGGACCACAACTACAGGTGCTCTCACCCATCAACAGGTCAGTTTCCTACATACAAATGCATTACCAGTATGTAAACTATATACATGCTCTTCTTCAGTAGTAGTATAGAAAGTCTATTATCAAAAGAAATAAGAAGTCCAGGTAGATGTGCAATATTAAATGATGATAAGAAAACCCTTTAAAGCTTTTCAAATCTCTCCTTTTTCCCACCTTCTCCCTCCCAAGTCTGGAGATAATAGCAGGATGGAAGACAAGAGGTTTAATGTAGCCGTTGGCCACAATAACAACACAGGCAGCAACAGCGGACCACGAGCTAGGATGAGCAACCCTCGCATCAACAATTCCAGAGGTGCAAATCCACGGGTCAGAAACCCTGTCTCTTCAAACAGACAACACATCCATGGACAAAATAAGCACAAGACAAATAACCGTAACAAGCAAGGTATTATATTAGATAACATCTGCTCATACTAGATTGTGATTTTGTGTAAATATAAACATCTGTGGCTTTTTTCCTCTTTTTTTTTTGATTAATGAGGACAAGTTTTTAAAACATAAAATGTATGATTATTATTTTGTTTGTTATATCACAGATTGGCAGAATTATTCTTCAGTTACACATATTACACTGTATTTTCATTCGTTCTTATCAGTACTGTTTTCTCTACTCTGTCACACTGAACCCTTTTATTCCTCAAATAGTATTACAAACGGGGGATTTTATAGAACCTTTGTGCGTTAAATTGCATTTAATATAGAAAATACCTGGCAGGGAAGTCAGGATAACGTCCCAGTGGCACTCCATCTTGCGCTTCATGCTTGTTATGCTTTTGGTCACAAAATTCTAGGCTAAATAGGTGATTAGGTTACAAACAGAGAGCAGGTTGACTGTGCCTAGCATAGATATATAGCTAACCAGAAATGAGTCTAGTTATGCCATAATATGGCACCTGTCAGCAACAGATTAACCAGATATAAGAAAATACCAATTGATTCCACAACAAACACGGTAGCAGGCTTCCTGTGTTCTTTTTATGGGGTTTGTAGTTAATTCAGTGGCTGGATTGAATTCAAGAGTGATTTCTATCAAAACTTTTTGTCAGATTAAACTAACTTGTTGATGAGCATTATTAAATGATACCAATGGAAAGATTTTAGCAAAATCAAAATGGGACTGCAGATTACCTTTTAAATATTTAAAGGGAATCCTGCCAGAAATCATTCTTACTCTTCCTTCACATTTAAAGAATTGCAAACTAAGAAGAAATGGTTGTTAAAATGGATTAAGTAATTGCATTGTATTTGATTGGTCTCACAGGAAATCTGTAACTATGCAGAACTTGAACACAGTTTTTGATTTATTTGAACATGTTAATTTGTTTTGAATATTTTGTTGGAAACACATTATTCCCACTGAAATACATGGTCTTCACGAAGTTGATTCAAATTTGCCTCCACAGGGGGATGGTGGTCACATGAGACCAACATCCCAAGACTATCTGGATCCTCAGCAGCAAGAGAGCAAGCCTCTGTCAACTACAACTCCTCACGTGGCAATGGAAGTGACAGGTAGGTCTTGTTCACTGTAATACTTCCGGTCTATTTAACCCATTAGATCGAGATGCCTCGCTGCCATCACATGGGCCAAAATACAGGCATTAGACTTACGTGAGCGGACACTCTGCCAGGTGTGTGGCTTGCAATGAACACTCGTGTTGTTATTTGTGTAATCTCTTTAAAAATTTCAGAACATTCAATTTTCTGTAATACAACCTACACCATCGGTCATGGTAGGCAGGAGGAATAGGATCCTGAAGTAGCATCCTTCCTGGAGCCAGCACTCCTCCTGTCATGGCTAACATTACATTCCACACTCATTTATAGATGAAAATAATGCAAAAAAACCCTCCAAGAGCTTTGTGCACTTGTGGCAAATCATTCCCATCACCCTGGCCTTCAGCTAAAATGCTCATAACTGCAAATTCACATCACCCTGGCCCACAGCTAGATTTTTCCATAATGTCATGTCAACGTCACTTGCCCCTCAAGTCATATTTTTTCTTGACATGATGGTCATATCATCTGGATTGTAGGGGTTAAAAACAGTGTTTTCTACACATGGGTGGCTCCACAAACATTTAGTGATTAAGGAATCAGTTACTAGGCCTTTCCTGTATTTTTTGTTTTCTAATGTGATTATTATCACTATTGTGATAACGAGATGATATGTAATAGTAATAAATATGAAAGCTTTTTCCAAAAGTTCAAGGAATTGAAAAAATAGTGGAGGCTGGTTTGGCCTACCAAGTGGCTCATTGGTGACTAGGAGTTTGTAGACCTATATTAGTTATAAGAAATGACAAAGCAAATCTCATCAGTGGTTCAAGTTGTAGTCAGTAATTTCATGAATTTGCTTCCTTTAGTACTAATTTAATCTGTTTGTATAGATTGAAATCTTATTTAGTAAATAAACATTATATTTTTGGATGTATCTTTTGTAAAGACAACTCTCATCTATCTACCCCAATAGCGATGGAGCTGGAGCTGTAGCAGTTGAGGTTCTGAGGGAAGCAGAAGCACTAATGCGAAAGCACGCCAATCACCCAGAGTTCCTTCTACAGTTGTTCCGTCATGCATCACAGATCACAGTCAACACAGACCAGCATGTGGCTGTTGCACTGTTGCAAGATCTGGCAACACAGCCTCATGGATCAAACCATGGGTGAATATTGTTTTTTTTTTTTTTTTTTTTTTTTTTTTTTTTTTTTTTTTTTTTTTTTTTCCTTTTTTTTTTTTTTTCTTTCTTTCTTTTTTTCTTTTTCTTTCTTCCTTTCTTCAGTTGGAAATGCTTGTTGTTGTAATTTAAGAAATTCAGTACAACAATATGATGATACAGGTATGAATAAAGATCAACATACAAGGCTAAAGAGAAAGATCTATGATGACTAGCAGCACATACTAGTTAATATATCAAATTACTGTCTTCATGTGAAGTATAACAGTAAGATTCCTACATTACTAATATATTTACTATTATTTATATAGGATGAATAGCAGTAACAGGGGAATCAATAATGAGAACAGTAACTTCTCACTGCCTGCTCCCCTGCGCGACTCCTCTTGGCGAAGCCACTCGACTTCACAGGCAGATCGGCATAACATACTCCCACAGGTACTGATTTTAGGATGATATTGGATAAGTTATCAGGTATCATTATTTATAAACTAAAATGCTCTTGTTAAAGCACTGTGGATTATCCCATTCAGTGTGTATAACATCATATCATGCCATGGCTGCACTGCACCGACATCAGGATCATGTTTATACCCCACACCATTGGCTCATTTGTATAGCTTTGCAGTTAGATGGAGGCACCTAAAGTGAAGGATTTTTTCTTCTTTTTCTGAGTCTTCTACTCCTTTCCCTCTTCCAAAATTCCAGCTCTGAATGAAATTATGCTTGAAATACTGAATAAGTCAGGCAGACTACCAGTGCATATTGAAAATTCCACATTGCTAGCCACTACCAAATTTTTGATATTGCAGTCATTGGTTTAATACAATTTTTCCCACTTTCTTTTTCTTGCTTCTTTTGCTTCTATTCTTTAAAGATTTTGTCAAATGAAAAGCCATTTTGCAATTAGATGCTTGCTCTTTCTCAATATTATGATGTTTATCACTAGCTTTCTTTAATATTCCCCAGGAAAACATAAGTGCAGCAGGCCTGTCAGGGTCAGAAGTCAGTGATAGTGGACTCACTTCTGAAGATGAAGACAGCAGGGTAATGTTTCTTTTTTTCTTTCTTTTTTGCTCTTCGAAGCTTTGCTTTCAAGTTCCTATCATATTAGCTCTAGGCTATAGAAGATTCTTATGTGAACTTAAAAGACAGTTCATTTATGCCATGCTAGAAATAAGTAGATGTGTCTAATTCTCTTTTATATTAGATTGTAATAGGACAAACAAATAGTGATGGATGAATATCATTATACTTCAAGATACAAAGTTATATAAAACTGAAATGAAAAGTTATGGTAGGTGAACTCCTTGAGAGAAAAAGGCATTCTTTGCTGAATTCTAATTACTTGTGACTGTGAAGGTATTTTGAAGTTCATGCCTGTCCATCATTGTTTTTCAGAGAAAAATAGACCAGAAAATATATGACTATCTCTCCTAAATTTCTTACAAGTCATAAGTGTTATGCAGTTTTTGATGAAATGACATGTGTTTCTTACTTCAAAACATGTCATTTATTTCCAACCTTCATTAAGAAAACTGGGAATTTATATACATCCAGTTCCCCATAAAATTACTGCTCCTTCTATTGTGTCATAAGCTATACCCTGTACTTTGCTCCCATGTGAACCCTTGAATGCATCCTGGCCTTTGCTCTCCCAGGCATTGTACCGAAACGTGAAGAACCTTAGCCTGAGCCCCGGGGGACGTCCAGGGGCCACAGGAGCAATTCCTCGCACCACCCCAGACATCAACACCAGCCACCCTCGCCCCCCAGCCCCCCAGCCACACCGCTACCAGCAAGGGGGTGTAGTCTCTCAGCCCCACCTGCAATACCCACCCCAAGCCTCGCAGCATAATTACCCCTATTTCCAGCAACAGCATAACCTCTCCAGCAATCGGGAGAGCAGTCGAGGGACAGCACACTCCGAGAGCACCCTGTATGACCACCTTCCCTACAGTGACTCCCAAATGAGCAGCTCGCACCCCCAAGAGGCTAGTGTAACTTGTAAAGGTCTTTCCTCGTGTATGAGTCCTGTCCTGGTTCATTCTCATGCAAGAGGTATTTAGCGTGCATGACAGAAAGTTCCATTCTAGAGTGTCCCATACATTTTATTGTTGTTATTGTTTTTGTCCTTTGATATGCTATTTCATTTCATCTGAGGTGCAGCCTACTTAGATTTATTCCCAAATGTTGTTTTACAATTATTACGGTTCCTGAGGATTTGTAACAAGACTTTTCACCTTGATGTTCATTTTCCTAGGTCGTCGTACCAGGAAAGTACCAAAGATGTATAGTTCACTGCATGAAAAAAAAGATAAAAGAATACTTGATGCAATGTTTTAACAAAGCCAAAATCTCAGGTGGAGGAGGAATGGCTGAGACATGCCCTGGAGAGTGAAGAAGTGGAACAGAAAAGCCAGAAGCCGCTGGACACAGCCGGCTCTTCCCCAGAACACCCCCATCATGCCATACATGTAATCATTTGTACTTATTTTCAATGACGGAATTAGTTTGAACATTCATACTTTACTGTCAAGTTTTGTTTAAATTTCTTTATTTATGTTAAATGAATTTATTTATTCATTCATTTCTTTTTTACAATATTTTTCCTATATCTTTTTATTTTTCTTATGTTTGATCATTATCATCATTGTAAAATTATTTCTTGCTAGAGAAGAAATACTTCTTTATTTTAATGTGTAATTTCATTTTGCATAGACACTGAGCAATGACACTGAGTACTTGACGTTCGAGACTCTTGTGTCGTCTGCAGTCAAGGCAAGTGTCGAGGTCCTGCAGAGTCATGTGGGGGGAGCTATGACTCCGGGTGGGTCTGTGTCTCCACTGCTTCTCACAACGCTCCACCACACTCTCATTGCACAGGTTAGTTGCAAGTTATGTAAACTAGTACTTTTTGATTTTGAAGAATTATAAATAGTATGTAGTTTTATTTGTCAGTTTGCTTACAAACTGGACAACATTAGGGCCATAAATGCTGTTGCGTTTAAGCAGTGAACTTACTTAGGGCAGGTGATGGTCCATTGAGATGCCATTCATCATTGCCATATGATGTTTGAATGTCTCAGCTTATTAAATCTTTGATAAGGCTCACAGTCTTTAACATTTTGGTAAGCTTATTAAAGAATATGATGTTAGTGGGATGAGGGACCTAAAGAATATTTCATTTGTGGTGCTTAAGTATTCCTTTTATGCCTTCTATCCCTCCTCACAGATCATATTTTCCACATTGGTATACCTTCATAGGGATGTGATTAGGATTTCTTGATTCTACTTTCACAGGAAAATGATGAATAGGCTTGCTTGAATTTTTTGCATCAACTTCATCCTCATTCTATTCATAGCATTATTTTACATTTACATTTTACCTAAAGTATGCCTTCAGTTTTCAATTTATGGATGTCAGTCATGTACTTTGGCTTTCATTCTTAAATCTGTCTGTATCATCTAATCTTTGTAACACCTCCCTTATCATTTTGCTTTAGCATTTTGTGTGTGACATTTTCTGTATAGTTTTTATTAATTTGTTTACTTTTATCATCATCATCATCATCTTTTTTTTTCACTTAAAATCATTTTTAACCACACTATCTTTTAGGTTTCTGATCTTTTTATATATCTTAGATGTTAATGAAATGGATTACTTTAAGAACATATCCACACTTGTACAAGTAAGCCACTATTTTCTTCCACATATATGTCAAGTAATAATGTGTTACAAAGAACCTCTATATGCCATCACTCTCTTGAAGATATAATTCAGTTGTCCCTTGCAGTTTTTGTCAGGACGAGAGATCTTTCAGTTAATTACGTTCACTCATTCGTGCATGCCTGTTTTCCTGTTGAATATTCAGAAGATGTATTCTCCATTCTACAGAATTGCTTAAAAAAAAGAGCTTCACCAAGTCCCTCTCATTCCTTCCTGACCTTGTCTCTCCTCTCTCTAATTTTTGCAGTAAACCCTTCCTTTGAACTGAAGTCTCACTTAGGGCTGGGATGTCCACATCACTCTAACATATAGTGCCTTTACTCACACTACACTCATTCTCATCATCACTTCCAGGTACAGTGAAACACTACAAGTTTTTGTGCCTGTAGAAGTTTAGAATATTTTTTCGCTTCTGTTCAGTTGTTTTCATTCATGTGGGTTCACTGCTTCCATATAAGAAATATTGAGAAAACTGGTAAAGGATAGATTTGATGTGTCTGTAGCTGTATGCCATATTTGTCCTATTTAGATTTATCTTAACTAATCAACAAGTTAAATTATACTTATTAAATCCCAGCACATTTACCTTAGCCTCAACTCTCTCAGGTATACATCACCAAGGTTTAAAGTATTTTGGCAGTATCATTTATTGCACATTATATGGGGTTTATTTGGTTTCATATCAGTCCATACACATTGCATGCCTAAAGAAAAAAAGTTAACATAAGATCAAAATTATCCGACAGTGCATGAGATATGATAAATACTTAAATAGATCCACTTTGCATGTTTGGTCCAATAAAACTGCAATAAAATAGGCTATCACTAAATAAAAAGAATTGTTGTTCTTGCCGTATGGCCAAAGCTAAGATTTCATTCTAACATATATTGGAGAAGATATGAATGAGAATAAGTCATTCCACAAGACGACATGAAATTATTTGATAAATGAGTCATGCAAGATATATAAAAAAAATATATATATATTACAGATGAAGATTGTATAATGAAAGCATCACATGATTTCCCTTGCTTTACAAACTTATCCTTTCTCACTCATACCATTCCCAACAGGTGGCAAAGAGGATGTGTGTTGTCATTGGTAACTGTTTTTAATGGATAGCATTCTCAGTGCTGTGAGGCTTTTGTTCTAGATTTTTTTTTTTTCTCTCTCTCTCTCTCTCTTTTATGGAAATGAAGAAGAAAGGAAGGATAGAAGGCAGATTTTTGAAAGAGGATCTCCATCATCATCTGATGCTCAGTCATAGATTCTAACAGCCAAAACTTACGGATATTCCCAAAAGTAATTTATATCATAAGTAAGTTTCTGCTGACTGTCAGAAATAGTAGTATTGTACCAAAAGGACATGTATTGACGCTATCTTTCAGATCCAGAATCAAGCTCAGTCCCTCCAGCTGCCACAAAGCTTCCTTTTCTCTGTGTACAATGAACTTAAGGAGGCTCTGCAGGTCTTCTCTGGAAAACAGTAAGATATTCTCTCGTTCTCTCTCATGATCTCTCGTGCGCTCTCTCGCTCTCTCTCGCTTTCTTTCGCTCTCTTTCTCGCTCTCTTTCTCACTCTCTCTCTCTCTCTTCTCTCTCTCTTCTCTCTCTCTCCTCTCTCTCTCCTCTCTCTCTTCTCTCTCTTCTCTCTCTCTCTCTCTCCCTCTCTCTTCTCTCTCTCTTCTCTCTCTCCTCTCTCTCTCCTCTCTCTCTCCTCTCTCTTCTCTCTCTTCTCTCTCTTCTCTCTCTTCTCTCTCTTCTCTCTCTTCTCTCTCTTCTCTCTCTTCTCTCTCTTCTCTCTCTTCTCTCTCTTCTCTCTCTTCTCTCTCTTCTCTCTCTTCTCTCTCTTCTCTCTCTTCTCTCTCTTCTCTCTCTTCTCTCTCTTCTCTCTCTTCTCTCTCTTCTCTCTCTTCTCTCTCTTCTCTCTCTTCTCTCTCTTCTCTCTCTTCTCTCTCTTCTCTCTCTTCTCTCTCTTCTCTCTCTTCTCTCTCTTCTCTCTCTTCTCTCTCTTCTCTCTCTTCTCTCTCTTCTCTCTCTCTCTCTCTCTCTCTCTCTCTCTCTCTCTCTCTCTCATATTATTACTTCCATTAACTGTTTTTTGGCCAAAAATGCTTATTTTTATTAATTGGAGATATATTTTGACATCCTTTAGGCATGGTCTTTATCTCACAAACTCATGAACCTTCCCTTAGTGAATTTTGGGAAGGTTTACCCAAACCAATTTATGAATTTTCCTTTCTCTGTTAAAGTTGACTGTGCACAGTATTTACACAATGAATGTAGATATATGCAGATCTTAACCCAATGCTGCCAGGTGGTTTCCTGATGCATAAGCCCTCTCTCCTGGGCTGCATTCATAGTGGCCACTGCCTTGAGATCATGTCATCACCATAGCGTGTGCGGCATGATCGTACATGCCCCCAGAAAATGGGACTGGCACACCCCATGGCATGTATACACATACCACCCAGAATATAATCCAGGCATGCCATGGCATGTATGTACATGCCACCTGGTGGCAAAGGGTTAAGCTAATATATTTGTAATGAGTTGTGTAACTTGAGTTATTTTGGAATATTTTTGAAAATAATATTCAGTTGATATTGTAGCAGTTTCACTAAGATCATATTTAATATTGAGTCTTACTTAGTTTTACCACAAGCATGACTTTCATGTTTATCTTTTTAAATAGAAGTTTTTTTTCTCAGATAATTTCAAGTAGCTTTTTTTCCTGTCTCACACAGACTGAGAGAAGTGAGCAATGAAGTTCCTTCAGTGATATCACAAGTGTTGTTAACTCAGTACTGCAGTGTTCTTGTGCAGCGCCTTAGGGATAACCACCCTGTCCTCCCAGAGACCCCCACTAAACTGCCACAAAATAAACAGGTTCTGGTGAGGTTCTTGTTTTTTTATTTTACACAAATAAGTACAGAGGAAATTTTGCAAAATTGATTCATGAATATATTCCTGCCTTTCTTTCTTTCTTTCTTTCTTTCTTTCTTTCTTTCTTTCTTTCTTTCTTTCTTTCTTTCTTTCTTTCTTTCTTTCTTTCTTTCTTTCTTTCTTTCTTTCTTTCTTTCTTTCTTTCTTTCTTTCTTTCTTTCTTTCTTTCTTTCTTTCTTTCTTTCTTTCTTTCTTTCTTTCTTTCTTTCTTTCTTTCTTTCTTTCTTTCTTTCTTTCTTTCTTTCTTTCTTTCTTTCTTTCTTTCTTTCTTTCTTTCTTTCTTTCTTTCTTTCTTTCTTTCTTTCTTTCTTTCTTTCTTTCTTTCTTTCTTTCTTTCTTTCTTTCTTTCTTTCTTTCTTTCTTTCTTTCTTTCTTTCTTTCTTTCTTTCTTTCTTTCTTTCTTTCTTTCTTTCTTTCTTTCTTTCTTTCTTTCTTTCTTTCTTTCTTTCTTTCTTTCTTTCTTTCTTTCTTTCTTTCTTTCTTTCTTTCTTTCTTTCTTTCTTTCTTTCTTTCTTTCTTTCTTTCTTTCTTTCTTTCTTTCTTTCTTTCTTTCTTTCTTTCTTTCTTTCTTTCTTTCTTTCTTTCTTTCTTTCTTTCTTTCTTTCTTTCTTTCTTTCTTTCTTTCTTTCTTTCTTTCTTTCTTTCTTTCTTTCTTTCTTTCTTTCTTTCTTTCTTTCTTTCTTTCTTTCTTTCTTTCTTTCTTTCTTTCTTTCTTTCTTTCTTTCTTTCTTTCTTTCTTTCTTTCTTTCTTTCTTTCTTTCTTTCTTTCTTTCTTTCTTTCTTTCTTTCTTTCTTTCTTTCTTTCTTTCTTTCTTTCTTTCTTTCTTTCTTTCTTTCTTTCTTTCTTTCTTTCTTTCTTTCTTTCTTTCTTTCTTTCTTTCTTTCTTTCTTTCTTTCTTTCTTTCTTTCTTTCTTTCTTTCTTTCTTTCTTTCTTTCTTTCTTTCTTTCTTTCTTTCTTTCTTTCTTTCTTTCTTTCTTTCTTTCTTTCTTTCTTTCTTTCTTTCTTTCTTTCTTTCTTTCTTTCTTTCTTTCTTTCTTTCTTTCTTTCTTTCTTTCTTTCTTTCTTTCTTTCTTTCTTTCTTTCTTTCTTTCTTTCTTTCTTTCTTTCTTTCTTTCTTTCTTTCTTTCTTTCTTTCTTTCTTTCTTTCTTTCTTTCTTTCTTTCTTTCTTTCTTTCTTTCTTTCTTTCTTTCTTTCTTTCTTTCTTTCTTTCTTTCTTTCTTTCTTTCTTTCTTTCTTTCTTTCTTTCTTTCTTTCTTTCTTTCTTTCTTTCTTTCTTTCTTTCTTTCTTTCTTTCTTTCTTTCTTTCTTTCTTTCTTTCTTTCTTTCTTTCTTTCTTTCTTTCTTTCTTTCTTTCTTTCTTTCTTTCTTTCTTTCTTTCTTTCTTTCTTTCTTTCTTTCTTTCTTTCTTTCTTTCTTTCTTTCTTTCTTTCTTTCTTTCTTTCTTTCTTTCTTTCTTTCTTTCTTTCTTTCTTTCTTTCTTTCTTTCTTTCTTTCTTTCTTTCTTTCTTTCTTTCTTTCTTTCTTTCTTTCTTTCTTTCTTTCTTTCTTTCTTTCTTTCTTTCTTTCTTTCTTTCTTTCTTTCTTTCTTTCTTTCTTTCTTTCTTTCTTTCTTTCTTTCTTTCTTTCTTTCTTTCTTTCTTTCTTTCTTTCTTTCTTTCTTTCTTTCTTTCTTTCTTTCTTTCTTTCTTTCTTTCTTTCTTTCTTTCTTTCTTTCTTTCTTTCTTTCTTTCTTTCTTTCTTTCTTTCTTTCTTTCTTTCTTTCTTTCTTTCTTTCTTTCTTTCTTTCTTTCTTTCTTTCTTTCTTTCTTTCTTTCTTTCTTTCTTTCTTTCTTTCTTTCTTTCTTTCTTTCTTTCTTTCTTTCTTTCTTTCTTTCTTTCTTTCTTTCTTTCTTTCTTTCTTTCTTTCTTTCTTTCTTTCTTTCTTTCTTTCTTTCTTTCTTTCTTTCTTTCTTTCTTTCTTTCTTTCTTTCTTTCTTTCTTTCTTTCTTTCTTTCTTTCTTTCTTTCTTTCTTTCTTTCTTTCTTTCTTTCTTTCTTTCTTTCTTTCTTTCTTTCTTTCTTTCTTTCTTTCTTTCTTTCTTTCTTTCTTTCTTTCTTTCTTTCTTTCTTTCTTTCTTTCTTTCTTTCTTTCTTTCTTTCTTTCTTTCTTTCTTTCTTTCTTTCTTTCTTTCTTTCTTTCTTTCTTTCTTTCTTTCTTTCTTTCTTTCTTTCTTTCTTTCTTTCTTTCTTTCTTTCTTTCTTTCTTTCTTTCTTTCTTTCTTTCTTTCTTTCGTACTGGCAATTGTTCTTTGTGCAGCGCCTAGGGATAACCACCCTGTCCTCCCAGAGACCCCCACTAAACTGCCACAAAATAAACAGGTTCTGGTGAGGTTCTTGTTTTTTTATTTTACACAAATAAGTACAGAGGAAATTTTGCAAAATTGATTCATGAATATATTCCTGCCTTTATTACTTTAGATATTTGTTATTGATATGTTAAGCTAGTGCATGGAAATATGTACTTTGCTTTAGTTTAAGGCTAAGGTCCCATCTTAGCAAATAAAAGTGATTAAGGTTGCCTTTATGTCACTGTTAACTATCTTAATTGTGTATTTATTGGAACATTTACAGAATGATGCCATAACCAGTGGTACTAATGGAAATCATTCTAATTATTTGTAGATTTCCTCATTAATTTTACGTCTACTTTTGCAGAAGAATGAATCATCAAGTGAAACCACAACACCTGTGAACGCGAGTCGTCACTCCCAGGAGAACACAACAGCCACCCAGACAGAACCAAATGTATTTTCCTTGACTTCCCACCAGCATACAGTGCTGACACATACCTCAGACACTGCCCATGGACCCAGTCATTATGCACCACCACACACTTTCAGCATGAGTCTGGCTACAGGAGGGATGTCATCAAACAAGCAGCACTCCTTAGTTTCCTCCTCCCAGCCTGTGGCCACCACCACAGCCAGTCTGCCTGGCCATGCCTCGCTTCCACACCCTCCACAAATCACAGCCTCGCACTTCCAGCCGTCTTCTACATCGGGAAGTGGCCAGTGGCAGCTC